TTACATGACTAAAACACTGTTTTTTTGTTTTTATGACTTTGAAAAAAGAGCATACCTGTATTTCTTACATAAAATGATTTTTTGTTATTATTGGTGTTAAAATTATGGGAAAGGGCTATTCTCAATACATCAAAACAAAGACCCACTCAATTTTACGATTTTTGAATCATTTGGTCTTTCAAAATGCCCAATCAAATTAAAACTCACAAAGATTGCCGGAAAACTGTGTGTTTCTTGTGCTTGAAAAAAAGCACAAGGACAATTTCACCATCAATGGCACAGGAAATTTTAAGCTTGCTTGAACAAAAGATCAACTTTGAAGATGAACGAACGCCGATTGGGATTTGTGAAGGATGCCGTTCAACATTGCACAGAAAACTTGATGGAAAAGAGGTTGTCATGCCAAGACTCTATGACTTTGAAACCATCAATGTCAGGCGACCTGCAAGCGGACTGATCTGTGATTGCATTATATGTCAAGTTGGGCATCTGAAGCTAAATGAATCCCATCCTCTTGAAAAAGTCAGAAAAATGACAACATGTGAAGAGAAAGCTGTGAATAAAAATTCAACTTCTGACCACAGATGTTCCAAATGCCTCTCGGTCCTGGGCAAAGGAATTTCTCATGTATGCACTGAAGCTAAGTTTCGTGAAAATATGAGACTTTTGGCATCAAATGACAGCACAGTTGCTCAACAAATTGCAGCTTCTGCAATAGCTGGAACAGATGCTTCCCCTCAAGGAACAATTTGTCTGGCTCAAGCAAAAGATGGACAATCTTAACCTGTCACCCCAGGTAAAAATGACTTTATTGTAGTATAATTAAATGTGTTCAATTTTATTAGTTCTCAATGCCAAAAATGTGGTCAATTCTTGAGAAAAGTCAATTACTTTAATTGTGACAACTTGTAAAATTTAAAATAAAATTGCCAAAATATTTACTTATAGGTCCTTCAAATGCAAGAAGACTCTTTGGATCAACATCTTTAGTTACTGCAAGGGATCTCGTTCAAGTGCAAATCAATACTGGATTGTCAAACACAAACGTGAAAAAGTTAGCGACAACTTTGAACCAAGTTTCAGCAGTCCGAATTACTGAGCCAAACATTCGCTTCAAATTTTCTGCATTAGGAAACTCACTTGCCGGATTTTTTAATCAAACAGATATTCTACCTGAACAAGGCAATGGAGTTATTGGCAAGAAACTTGTAGTTCACTGTAAAGATCTGCAAGAACTGATAAATGAAGCTCTTTTGTCACGAAAAGTCTTCAGCAAGCCTCTAATCAAACTTGGCATTGATGGTGGTGGTGGGTTTCTGAAAGTCACACTGGGAGCTATTGAGAAAATGTGAAGATGATCCTCCTCCATGTAAGAAAAACTTGACTACAAACTCTTCCAAAGATAGTGGCTGCATTGGTCAGCTTATCATTGCAATTGCTGATGATTTATCTGAAACCTATTTGAATGTCCAAAATGTTCTGTCTCTCATCAAGCCTAACCCTAAGGATTTTGTTGTTTCTTGTGATCTGAAGCTGGCCAACATCCTCTGTGGACTTCAGTCTCACTCATCATCACATCCTTGCATGTGGTGTGATGTCCCATCAAATAACCTTGCACAATCTGGAAATCTTCGCACCTTTGGGTCTCTCAAATCATCCTGTCAAGCTTTTGATGCTGCAGAACGTGACATGAAAAAGGCAAAAGAATTCGGAAATGTGGTTCATCCTCCATTACTTGCTTTGGATGATGAGGAATTTGGATCTAATTCCACCTATGGAATTGCATCTGCTGCTTGAAGTTGTCAATCACCTCTTCAAGATCTTGAAGTCAATGTGGCCGCATGCTGAAAAGTGGCTAGATGCTCTTCACATAAAACAACAACCTTTCCACGGAGGACAATTTGCTAGAAATGATTGTCACAAGCTTCTGAAGAACCTGGATTTGTTGCAAAATCTTGCAGAGAAAACGTCCTCAATTTATATTTGTCCCATTATCAACACTTTCCGGAAATTTGAAGCTGTAGTCAGTGCTTGCTTTGGGTCCACATTATCTTCCGATTTCTCTAGAAAAATTGACTTATTCAGAGAAGCATATATGACAATGCCATATGGAAGCGTGACTCCAAAAGTGCATGCAGTATTTTTTCATGTGAAGGACTTCATCCAAAATAAAAATACTGCTTTGGGAATCTTCAGTGAACAAACGACAGAAGCTATGCACCATCACTTTCATCAACACTGGCAAAGATACAAGAGACCATCAACCCATCCAAAATATGGAAGGCAACTTCAAACATGCATAGTTGACTTTAACAGCGAGCATCTTTAAAGGCAGTTTTGAAACAGGAGCAGAAGACTTATTACAAGAATTAAAAAAGTTTTGCATTATTTTTGTTACAGTGTTACAGTCTTTTTGTTAGAATGTATTACTGTTTATTTTTATCAAGCCAGTGCTGTAAAATGAATGAATACATATGATATCATTGAAGAAATAAAATTATCACTAACTCAAATTTTTTGATGCTGTAAAAATGCAAAAAATGGGTATGCTGTCATTTGTCTAGTTGCTGTAATATAATAAAAATCAAAACTCAATTTATTTTCCGAGACGAAATAGTTGGATTTCAAATTTTATAATTTTGAAATCCTGACATCAAGGGCTTTCATATGCACCCAGCCATTTCTCTGGGTCAGCTATATACAGTTATCATGAATTCTGGCTGGGGGTGATGCACCATTAGGCCAATTAAGTAAAATTCAATAGATTTGAAAAGCAACAAATTCACCAAAACAAAAATAAATTCTTAAAACAATACTTGATAAGATATCTAAAAAAATTTAAAATTTTCAATGGAAAACTCATTTTTTTAATGCAATCTTTAAAACTATGATTTTTTTAAAAGACTATTTTTTTTGCATACTGTACCCATCAATCTCTATTACCTATTTGTCGTGAAATCGGGTTTGAATCCTTTAACCATTCTTTTATGTGTATCTGCCTAGCACCTCTTCACTCTATCACCTTTCAGTTTGTTCTTTATCATTCTCCTTCTTCCGACTCCACACTTTTAGATGTAATTTAGAATTTGTAGATGAAACGGATTTAAACAAAGTAACAAATCACTGCTTATGATTTTTTATAAAAATTGTTAATTAATATTGTATATACTTTTTTATATTTATACAAGTATGTACTTTTTATTATAAATGCCTTTAAAAAAAAATTATTATATTTTTTTAAAGAAACAATTTAATTATTTTTTTTCTTGTATAAATTACTGCAAAGAATTGTTATGAATCTTTTTTTTGTGCGTATTTATTAAACAATCGTTAGATGTAAGTTGTTACTTTATCTAAAAGGGTTTTGAATAATATTATAATAGAAAAACATTGGTAAAAATAAACGGTTCAAACGGTATTTATTTCATAAAAAACTTAAATAACCTTTTTGTTATAGTTTATTATTTATTTTAGTTATGTTTAAATTTTATTTAATTGATTTTAGTTTTAGTTAAGTTATTTTTATTTTATTTTTTTACAAAAATTTATTTGCTTTTTTTAAGATAAGTTTTTTTTTTAAGTTTCTTTTTAGTTAAGTAAAGATAATTTTTTCAGTGCATTTTTAAAATGTAAACAAATTTTTAAAACATTTTAATAGCTGTGGTCAAGTTTTCAAAATCAAATAGTATTTGTGTGGTCATATTAAGGCATGAAATCGCATGCCTTCCTAAGCAAGTCTGCACTTATGTCTTGTACAAGGGATGTTGTCATTGCACTTATGTCTTGTACAAAGGAATACTATTGTCATATTTGGGCTGGTTCTTCTAACGATTCACTTTCTCTTCTTGACAAGGTCCAAAAAACGCATTGTAAATGTTGTTGGACCTGGACTATCTGCTAAGCTTGAGCCTCTTTCCCATCGTCGTAAAGTTGCATCTCTTTCTCTACTGCTCAAAGGAGTTATCATCTCTAGTTCCATTAACTAAAATTCATTCTCGTTTTACTCGCCATTCAGCTAAGTCTCATTCGTTTACTGTATCTGTCCGTGCATGCTCTAAAAACTTTTATTCATCTAGTTTTTTTCCCCGCACTTCAATCCTTTGGAACTCTCTCCCATCTTCATGTTTTCCTGACTCATACAACCTTCAACTTTTCAAGTCTTCTGTCAACCGTTTCCTTGCTCTATAACTCTGTTCTTTTTTTTTCCTAGTAACTCCCAACTTAATAGTGGTTGCTTGCAGCCTTGTTGGGAGTGAATGCAAATAAAAAAATAAAAAAAATGTTGTTATTTGCCATGTGATATTATCAGGAAAAGATGCTGAAATTATTCCAATTCCAACATTTTGAAATAAAAATAACTTCGCTAAGTAAAAATATACAATATACTTTTTTTAGTTTTTTTTATTTAAATTTAGGTATTTAGAATACTATATAATACATAAATACAAACTTATTATATTTTTGTTCATTTTTTATTTCTATTTATCTCACCAAAGCTGAGAAGGCCACTACAGTTGAGGAGACTACTTTATTATGGTTACAACCTCCTCTTTTACTCTGAAACACGAACCTTCAAAAACAAGGCAGCTGCACAAAGAAACAAGTTGAGCATGGTACTACTAGAGATGTGGTGAGGATCTCTGAACTACTTGATTATGAAGCAAGCGTTCTATCAATATATATTACTATATACTGATGTAGGTATTTTGTTTTGGGTCTTAACCTAAAAACATTGGTCTTAATTTAATATACTTTAACTTGTTTTTTTTTAATTTTATGCAAGCAATATATATTAGACTAGTATTTATATGCATTAGTTATTTATCAATTAAAAAATAAGTTGTAATATAATATTTTAACATTATAACTATAATATATTTATATTTTAACATTATAACTATAATATATTTATATTTTAACATTATAACTATAATATTTGGCTTTAAATTTATGCAGATTATATTTAAGTTAAGAATAAAGTTAAAAATAAAACAAATTACTTGTTTGGTTTCCCATAAACTGTCCATCTAAGAATGCAGAAACATAAAGACTAGAATAAGCTATTCCAACAATATGATGCCATCTTTCTGCATTGTTTCCAGAAAATTGAACAACTCCAGAAAATGTTCTAAAAATAAAAATTTCAATTAGAAGGCCAAATCTGACTGATTATGCTTTGAAATTATTCAAAATGTTTAATTTAGTTTTGGTTAATGCATTTAAGTATAAAGGTAAAGTAGAGAAATCTACTAACACAGCCAGACAAGCATGCTGGTCCCTCTATTGTGCTGGTTCAGATATTGAAGAGTTCAATGGTTGAATGTATCAAATATGCCTAAGTGACATGGATTGTAGTAACAAAATAAATATATTGATAATTGTTATTTACAGATTTGAAAAATGACAAGACATCAAAAGTAAAGTATATCTTGGAAAAGTTTTAAGAAGTCTAGGGTTGCATCTTTAAAGATTAAACAAATACTGTATATACAGCTTGGTGTTTCTTTTGTTAATGAAATGAGGGTTATTAAGGATCACAATATACATTGCGAGGAAAAAGCTGAATAAATAAACAACTAAATGCATGCATAGTGTTATTGCATTAAAGAAAAAACAAGTGACCAGCTTAAAATATGTCTGTAAAGGAGAAGTGCATCATTAGATCATGTTAGTGTGAGTTTAAGTGATATGGAAAAATAAAACATAAAGATGCAAGAATGTCAGCACAACAATTTCAAAAAAGAAAAGCAAAATTAGACAAATTTGGAATGTTTAAAAGTTTACACAAAAATAAGAAAACTAACTGAAAATAACATCAAATATATCAAACTATATTTATATCAAAAACATTGTTTCATGTGCAGAAACTATAATAAAAATAAATATGTATGTTAGTTAAAAAAATAGTAGACTGCCTGAAAAATTGCAACTTAATATTTATTGTTCTATGAAACATTTATTATGTAATGTTATATGCGTTTTGTAGAAAACCATAAAAGTAATAGCGCATATAAAGTTATATGTATTATTTTATACAATTTTAGTAGCAATGTTGAATGTATTATTGCATGCAGCATTTCCTAATGTCAAATATAAACACTGTTATGATAAATCAAGAGTAAATAATAACTAAAACCTCAAAATAAATTGCAAATTCTCTTTTTTTTATTAACCATTTATTACTTTAAAAACAAAATAAAACACAGCAAAAATAAAAAAAGACAATACCCCTGTCTTGCGACAACCTGCCAATTTTCTAAGTAATGATCATACTTTATAGACATTCCTTGACCCTAAGGAAAATAATAATAATAATATTGCACTCAGTAGTGTCCCTGATATTGAGCTTACATTTATGACTTGTTTATATAGTATTTTTTTTTTAATGTTAATTCACCTCTCTAAGGCTAAAAAGGCCATTACAGTCAAGGAGGCTACAATAATTGTGGTTACAACTCTCTCTCTTAACTCTATAACTCCAAAACACAAACCTCGACAAACAAAGCTGCTGCACAGAGAAACAAGTTAAGCACGGTAATACCAGGGACATGGGGGGGGGGATCAAACTATAAACTTCTTGCTTATGAGGCAAGTACTCTACCACTACACCACTACTGCATTCTGTTTAGTGTTATGTTCAGTTTATGATAATAATGTTAAGTTTCATAATAATGTTATGTTTAGTAAACCTAAATCATAAAACCAGAGTTAAAATAAAAAACATTATTTATATATATATATATATATATATATATATATATATATATATATATATATATATATATATATATTTATATATATGGCAGTATATGCACATATATATATATATATATATATATATATATATATATATATATATATATATATATATATATATATATATATATATATATATATATATATATATATATATATATATATATTACTGCCATTGAGCTACTTTTAAATATGCATTTTAATAATTACATAAATTGCTGTATTACATTAACATATTTGACATATGAGGGTGCTCAATCCTCTTAAACAACAGAGCAGTTAAAAATTAGTAAAAAACAAACTTATCCAACTTTGAGCTTATACTGTATATATATATATATATATATACATATATATATATATATATATATATATATATATATATATATATATATATATATATATATACATATATATATATATATATATATATATATATATATATATATATATATATATATATATATATATATATGTGTGTGTGTGTGTGTGTATGTGTGTGTGTGTGTGTGTGTGTGTGTATATAAAAAATGAACTTTAAAAAGTTTGAGTGCTATCAGATCACGTTTGACCCCCTCAAGCCAATAGTTTAGGGGAAAATAACCAAAAACTGGTTAATTTTTGGCATCATGACGGAGGAACATTTTTTTTTCAAATTTTTTTTTACTTTTTTTATATAGACTAGTGATCGACTGAAACAGAAATAAACCGAAATTTGGGGTACTCAAGTTCAGTGCCAAAACCGAATCCAACATTTCGGCAAATATTTTACCAAAATGGATACTGACATTTAAGCTAGTCAAAATTAGTTTCATTAGAAATTTTTTTTTTAAAATGCAACTTTACATTTGATGTTTTTTTATATGTGTATTATGTTAGAATTGATTACGCGTTTCACAAATTATTCACAAGGATTTAATACATAAGTTGGCGATATAACTTTTTAGTGAAAATTAACATCTGGCAGATTTTCTCAGCAAAACAAAATTTTTTTAAGGCATTTTGTAAAAATTTCCAAAATTTTTGGGATAATTCTCAAAATTTTTGTGAAAATTCTCAAAAAAAACTAATTTTCTAAATTAGATAAAAAATTTTACAAATTTTTTGGCTTTCCGTATGTATTTCAACCAAAATTTTGCTTTTCACTGAAATTATAAAAAGTACCGAAGCCAAATTTTTGGTATCGGTTCAAATCAAAATTTTGATCAAAACTGATACCAAAACAGTATTTTGGTCAATCACTAATATAACTTATATTTTAGTTTAAAAAAATATGGGTTTTTTGTTATCCCTCAAAAATCTTTGTTTGGTAGTATTGAAAGTTATGAAAGTAGGTATTTTTTTTAATTAATGTTATATATATATATATATATATATATATATATATATATATATATATATATATATATATATATACATATATATATATATATATATATATATATATATATATATATATATATATATATATATATATATATATATATATATATATATATATATATATATACGCATATATATATATACATATATATATACATATATATATATATATATATATATATATTTATATATATATATATATATATATATATATAGATATATATATATATGTATATACACATATATACATATATATATATATATATATATATATATATATATATATATATATATATATATATATATATATATATATATATATATATATATATATAGACCTATATTTTAGTTTAAAAATCTATGGTTCTTTTGTAACCCCTCAAAAATCTATGTTTGGTAGTATTGAAAATTATAAAAATAGGTAATTTTTTGAAATTTTTCAGTTACTCCTATTGTTATATATTTATACTTTAGGGCAACTTATGATAGTTTATCATTTTGGTTTTTCTAATAGATTTAGATTAGTACATACAATAAACATAATAAAAATGAATGAAGCACAACTTAAGTCAAAGAAAAAAGAACTTTTTATTATAAAAGTAGCAAAACCAACTATATCAGGTAAAAATGTTTTTATTATTACTGGAATTATTAAATTACTGGTCAGTAAAATATTTATTTAAAAATGTCTAAATCTTTCTGTTTAGATGTACAGCTTCCAACAGGCTCGAATATTCTTCAACATTTAATACATAATCAACAATTTAAACTGTTCCTTAAAAATATATTTTTAAGGGAACAAGCAATAATATTTAATATTGGCGCAGGTTTAAATTGTTGATTATATATTAATAAGATATTAATATATATTCAACTATTTTAATAAGATTAAAGCTGGTTTTAATGTGTTAACTGACTTAAGTTTAGTTTAAAAAAAAAATTATATGCGTAAGTCCTATTCCAACTTGAAAAAAAAATTCAAAAAGAAGAACTATAGGTGATTTGGCTAAAAAAATGAGTTTGAGATCAAAGTTAAAAAAACTTTTTTGGACTGGTAACTATAATCTCAAAAACCTGATCAGTATAGATAAAAAAAGATTGTTAAAAGACAAGATTGAAGATTTAAAATTTCTGGAAGATCAAGAAAGTGAAAGAAAGTTTGTTAATGGTTCAGAGGATATTAAGTATAAAAAAAAGTTGGTCAATGCTTTTTGTTAAATAACTTAGCTCTGGTTTAACCTCTGTTAATTTATTCCTTTTTTTACCAAATCTAAAATTAAAAACTAAAACTTTAACTTTTCTGTAGATTAGGAAAAAGAAAGATTTGGCAGGTTTTTTATTTTTGCAAATATTCTTTTTTTATTTTTCTGCAAAAAGATGTTTGAGAATATTCGAGTTTATGTGTGTTTCCATGTAAGTCTGTAAAACAAAATATTCTAAAATTTACATATTATTTTGCAGACAAACAAGGAAACATACATAAACTTAAATGTTCTCAAAACAACTAAAAAATCTGGCCGGTTTTATTATTTCCGTGGTCAGTTATCGAGTGCGATCGCACCCGCTTCCCGACCAAGCCTGATGCATCTCCATATCCATATATAATTCATTTTGATGGCAAGACCTTGTTTGAGCTAAACAAAGGAAAAGTATTAAACAGGGATAGAGTGGTTGTTTTAGTTACCATTTATGGAGAGACTTACCTACTCGGAGTATCTCTGCTAGCTACATCCACTGGTGAAGATCAGTTCTTAGATGTAATGAATTAAGAATACCAAGTTATGTCAAAAGCTAAACTAGAGTAATATGCTTTGGTACAACATCATCCAATACTGGGACAAATAAAGGATCAGTTTGCAAAATATCTAAAGAACTAGATAAATATCTTCTCCGAATAGCCTGCAGACATCGCATGAGTGAATTAAGAATTTAGTCACACAAAAATTGCATCAGCAATTTTTGTGTGACTAAGCAGTTCTGTCATTTGATATATCTAGCAGTTCTGTCATTTGATATATCTAACTCTGACTACTATAAACCTGAGAACAAAGTAAAAGTTGATATCAAGGAAATTTATAAAATGGATACAAATATTGGTAAAAAACAACCATCTTTTTCTGTCTTGGTCAACGATTTTTATTACCTGATTTTTGACATGATTGGGCTTGATAAGCAACAAGTTAAAGACTGGCTCTCACTTCCACCAAACTATTGGCATACTCAGTCATGCTTTGAAAGTTTAAAAAAATATGATGAAACTTTGATTTTTGTAAATGACTATTTAGAATGGTCTATAGATATAGATCTATAGATATAGATCTATAGATATAGATCTATAGATATAGATCTATAGATATAAATCTATAGATATAGATCTATAGATATAGATCTATAGATATAGATCTATAGATATAGATCTATAGATATAGATCTATAGATATAGATCTATAGATATAGATCTATAGATATAGATCTATAGATACAGATCTATAAATATAGATCTATAGATATAGATCTATAGATACAGATCTATAGATATAGATCTATAGATATAGATCTATAGATATAGATCTATAGATATAGATCTATAGATATAGATCTATAGATATAGATCTATAGATATAGATCTATAGATATAGATCTATAGATATAGATCTATAGATATAGATCTATAGATATAGATCTATAGATATAGATCTATAGATATAGATCTATAGATATAGATCTATAGATATAGATCTATAGATATAGATCTATAGATATAGATCTATAGATATAGATCTATAGATATAGATCTATAGATATAGATCTATAGATATAGATCTATAGATATAGATCTATAGATATAGATCTATAGATATAGATCTATAGATGGGACAGTATATTCATAGATATTCCAATGAAACTGAAAAACAGAACAGATTACTCACAGTAGACAGAGTTTGTCTGTATTCATATCGCCATAACAAAAATCCAGTACAATTTCAAAAAGTAAATTTAATGATGGCCTTGGTGTGATACAGAAAAAGATAGAAGAGATAAACTTGTAAATTTAAATAGATTGTCAAATTTTTTTTTGGTTATAAAATTTCAAATGCACATTTATCTTTTTATTTACCCTTACTCATTTTGATTTTTCAGTATAAATAAATAGTAGTTTTTTAACTGACATGTATCACAGCCAACTACTGCTTATACTTTTTGGCAGAAGTTCATTGGTTGCTCCTTCAGAAACAGCAACCAATGAGCTTTGCAAAAAAGTATAAGCAGTAGTTCTTTTGGGATCAAGCATAGGGGTCTGTGTGTTTATATATACACACAAGGCTTATTAATTTATATATTACATGTATATATATATATATATATATATATATATATATATATATATATATATATATATATATATATATATATATATATATATATATATCCTTATAGTGTAGTCAAAAGAGACTTATGGTAAAAAAAGTCTCTTTCGACTACAATTTTTTTACCTTGTCTCTTAAGCTGCATTTTATTGTCGTCGAAATGTCATAGCAATTAAATTAATGCGGAAGTACATTAAATTTTATTGTTTTTTAAAAAAACCGCAATAATAATGACTAGAAAGTTTTTTTTAATTAGTGGTGTTTTTGTTTTTGTTTTATTAAAAATTATTTTTAAAACATGCATAATTTTTGCCTCATCGACTATCTTATACCCTGCTGCTACAAGGGAATGTTGCTACATCGACTATCTCATAGCCTGACTCGCAACCGAGTGCTGCTACATCGACTGACAAATAGCCTGACTTGCAAGAGAGTGCTGCTACATCGACTGACAAATAGCTTGATTCGCAAGGGAGTACTGCTACATTGACTGAGGGTTTGGTTTGGGCAGGCAGTCTATCATTTAAAAAAAAAATTTTTTTTTGAAGTTTTTCAACATTTTCTGGTCAGGCTTATTAACGCGCTCTTTAAAATAACAGTTTATGGGAAAAACTTTGTGACTACTATGCAAGACTATATATATATATATATATATATATATATATATATATATATATATATATATATATATATATATATATATATATATATATATATATATACACATATATATGTTTGTATATATGTATATATATATATATATACATGTAAATATGTAAATATGTAAATATATATATTTATATATATATATGTATATATATATATATATATATATATATATATATATATATATATATATACATATATATATATATATATATATATATATATATATATATATGTATATATATGTATATATATATATATATATATACATATACATATACATATACATATACATATATATATATATATATATATATATATATATATATATATATATATATATATATATATATATATATATATAATATATATATATATATATATATATATATATATATATATATATATATATATATATATATATATATATATATATATATATATATATATATATATATAGTGCAAAAAAAGTTTGAAAAAAAAAGAAATTGCCCCTCCCTTAAGATGCCCAAAAATGACCAGTTTTCAAGCATCATATTCTTTAAACAGAAGAAACTTTAAAATAAATGTGAACTAACTGGAAAGTTAATAAAAGTAGTTGTGTTGGTAGGAGCATTTTTTGTTAACCTCGCTTTTTCATTTACTCCTATTTTCACCCATAACGAAAATGTAAAACCGCCACTTGAGCATTTAGTTAAATCACTATAAAAAAAAAGAGAAAATATTCATCATTCTGACAAAATACATGAAATACTCAGATAAAACAAACAAAGCAACATAAATGATAAAAGATAAATAAAATGATAAAAAGATAACAAAACCTAACACAAGTTTGATCAGGTAATCCAGTATAGATGTAAGTATTTAAACAAATAGCTACAGCATCGCAAAACACAACTGATCCTCTTCTCTCTGGCATCAACATTATTTTTCCACTATTCAGGGTGAAAGCCAGGGATCCTTCTATACCAGCATTATATATGAGTGGATTTTCTTCAAATAAAAAACTCCAAGATGGTAAAAATGGGTAATATGGAATGCTTGCAAATGCTATAAATATTTACAAACTATTATAGTTATAATTATTTAAAAATAATATAATAGCAAGTTTATATATATATATATTTATATATATTATATATATATATATATATATATATATATATATATATATATATATATATATATATATATATATATATATATATATATATTTATATATAAATATATATATATATTTATATATTCGTCAACGCTGTCGTTTTTGAAAGCGTTGACTGTATTTGGGCGCTGATTTGGGCACAGCCCAAATTAAAATATGAGGACCTTTTTATTTATTTTTTTATATTTTTACGGCAAATATTGTGTTTTTTTTTTAAACAAATAGCTACAGGATTGCAGGTTCAAATCCCAGCGGAGCTGGGATTTGAACCTGCAATCCTGTAGCTATTGGACTTTACTGCAATCCTGTAGGATTGCAGTAAAGTCCGGGACTTTATTGCAATCCTGTAGGATTGCAATAAAGTCCCGGACTTTACTGCAAAATCGAACATTTTGTCCGGGACTTTATTGCAATCCTGTAGGATTGCAATAAAGTCTCGGACAAAATGTTCGATCAAAACCTATTTGGGTCGGATCAAGTTTTAAAAATATAATTTTTAGGGTCTTACGGAACCAAGTAATGCAATTGAAATCTGTGTCATGTTATTTAGTTTATTTAACGTTAGTCTAGTGAAGTTTCTTTCCTTATTATTTAGAATATTTCATAGCAGATTATTTTTTTTAATGAAATAGTTTTAATTCAATATTGGATATTTTAGTGATGTTTTTTTTTATAATTTGTCAACAGCTGTTTTGATGTTTTAACAATTTGAATGCAATTTAAAAAATCTTTACTTTACAAATAACTTTTATTACTTGCTATTCTAAATATAATAAAAAATTAATTATAAAGATCATTAAAACAAACATATATGTAAATTAAATGTTATATTTAAAAAAAAATTTTAGTAGGTATTTTTATGATAACTTTAAACATTTGAAACTATTTTTCCATATCTTTCTAAAAATTTAAAAAAAATTTTTTTTTTTCAAGTAATTATGAATAAGTCAAATTAAATCTTACCATGATTTAATTGCTTTATTAATTTTTTCTATAATTATTAATTTTATTATTATTATTTTTTTGTTTTTTATTTTTTTCTACTTTTACAAATAATTGTTTAAAAGTTTATTTTTTTTTTTATTTTGGCTTATTAACTAAAGCATGAAATAATTAAAAATTACTATTTAAAAAAAAATGTTACTTTTTAAAAAAAATTTTTTTTGCAACTTTTTAATAAAAATCTTATATAATAGGGTGACACAAAATAAGGTCGAAAATCAATTGAAAATCAATAACAGCAATTGCTTATCCTATTCTATAACATTTAGTTAGTCTAAATACAAAATTTTACTTATTTTTGTTCATTGGAAGTGTTTTAACATAATTATTCAAATATTGAGGATTGGCTGAATTTTATGTTTAGGTTAAATTATGTTTATAACAAAACTTATGTTTGATCTTAGAAAAAAAAAAACAGTTTATAGTTTCATACAGTTAGCTAATATTTTGAATCAATTTTTCAACTCTACCAGCTTCACCAGTTCCTTAAGCGACATATCTTTTGTTATTAGCTTTCTATGTTCCCTTACTACCAAAAAAATGTTCTGTCCCCGATCCTCATTGAGGGAACAAAGTTTTCAATTAAACTAATATTTCTTTCTGTGCAGTCGTTAGTCACACTAAGATTGCGAACTAACTGAGTGAAATGTGTATGAATCTAGCGCTAAGAAATCACTTGAAGTATGCCACTCTCAAACAGATTCGGTGTGACCTGTAAGTATAAAAAAAAGCCAACTCTCTTTCGTAATTAAATCCTCTAACCTACCATCTACCATCACTGGTAGCAATAACAGCAGACAGAGCTTCTACAGTAATCTATGATATCCCAGGAACTGGAAATTTTAAATGTTTCTCAAGGATTAAACGCTTAGCATCTGCTTTCATATGAGGGTTACCAACGATAGTATGACAATTTTAGGAGACAAATACCAAGTGTAATTACTCATGTTTTTCTGAAGTGAGTTTCCAACTTCATAATTCCATTCTGTTTTAATTGTTTCATCAATTTTGAATGCATTAAAATCATTTAAAACTACATGCTCTTCTTTGCCTGATTTAAGAAAGGTCTATAATAAATACCAACAAAAAACGCTACTCTTGAGAACATATGTTTCTTTTCAGGAGTCAGATATTCAATGACTGTGGATGTTATATTAAGCATTAGAAAGTATATTGCATAGGCCATAAACCTTGCATTGTGACAGGTGCCAGGCTGATAGATGTGAAAATTATTTAATTTCTCAGATTTAACATTCATGTAATACGCTAAATATTTAACAAGATGCCTATAATCATTTCTAAAATATTTTTTATTTTTATTTAATATCCTTTAAAAAAAAAAAGTATATTTAAGGAAAAACTAATTCATTTTATATTATTACTAGAGCATTTTATACCTAAATAGTATTATACATGGGAAAAGATTTCATTCTCTAGTGCTTTAGCTACAAACTTTTTAGACTTCAAATTGAGTTTGCAAAGATCACTGCCAAAAATAGAGGTCTTGCTCAGGAAATCATTTGAACTTTTCTACAGCACCATTAGCTAAAACTTTTAGATAAAACTCTGTTATCCATTTCTTCTGAAAATCTTTTAGCAACTTATTTGCAGGGGCTTTAGAAGTTTCCTTTGATATTGCCATAAAAGCCCAAGTAATATTTATCTCGGCAATATGGTGTCTACATAATAACCAAAGAAATTTTTGCCATAATAGTTATTGCACCAGATTTCCATCCAGTGTTACTTACTGTGGTGTCAGAACAGAATTCTACAATATAGTATTATACAAATTTCAAAATATTCTAGGAGATTCATAATACTTATAGCCATATCAATTCCCTTACCACAATTAGTTGGCACAACACCAAATAAAAGATCATCTTTGATTTCAATTTCTAGGCTAATTACAGAAACTATCAATCTATTGATAAAAAACCTCCTTCTAAAAACTTGTAATGGCGCCTTCTGACAGATTTTCTGCTGTTTTACATCTCCTCCTAAATAATTTACTATGCTTGCAATAAGAAGGGTTTGATCTCAAATGCTGAGAACAGCCCTTACTGATGCTTATTTTTTGAGCTTGCTTTGTGAAAGTTAACATTTTTATTTGGGACAAAAACTTGCGACTCGGCAATTACACTTCTAGCATCTAAATTAATATAAAGATTTTTAGCTCAGTTATACATTTACTTCTAAAAATTAATAATTTTACCTAAAATGCCTGTGTACTTTTAGAAAAAATTGTTTATATTCTCTCTTTTTATTTATTCAGAAGTTAAAATAAATTTTTTGCTCGATCTATGTTTTTTTTTCCTCTTGCATCTATCAATCTATCTCTGAAACCTTCAAGCTCTGTGTCAATTTTAAAAGATATGATCATATTTTTATTAGTTCCCTGTAAAAAGTTATTAACGCTTAGCGTAAGAAAAATTTAAATAAAAAAACAAAATTTCTCAAAAAAATGATTTTTTATACTAGCAAAAAATTAGCAGATATGTCATTTCAATAGGTTAAATCTTTGCAAAAATTTAAGCAAAAATGCCTTTGATCATTTAAAAAGGACAAATTCTCTTGTAAAGCAGAAGTATTACGAGGCATTGATTCATCATATTACGAGGCATTGATTCATCATATCTCAACTCCTTCTCAAAGTCTTTTGCACTGATGTCAAACAATTGCTTTACCATATTGTAAAAGTTATTTTTGTGACGTTCAGAAACTTGCTTTTTGACTTGAAAGGGGTTACTGTTGCACAAAATTTTATATTTGCTGTATGGAGATTTAAACTTTTCTACTATACTTCTCTCAGAAATCAAGTAATTACTGAAACAAACCAAATATTTACAATTTCTCAAAATAAACAGTATTTTTCGGCATTTGAATTACAAAATTCATCTTTCCCTTTGCATATAACATCCTCTCGTGCTCAAGAACATGAAAAGTTTGTTTTAATAGGTTTGAATTGCTTATCTCTAGCTGAAGTTAGGAACAAGTAATATCAAAGAACAGTTCTATTCGACGGAAGTTGGTTTGTAGGTAGATAGCTTAAAGGCGAGTTAAACAGGTAAACAAACCTACGAGCGCAATAGCTAATTTCTTTTGTTTACCTCTCTTTGATTTTCAACATTTTGTACGGATATGTAAATAGTAAGAAAAAAAGTTTAAAGCAAGATAATTAATAAATCAAAAGTTGCCAAATGATTAAACGCAAACCACAAAATTTATGCAGCAATTAAACTTTTTAAAAAATAATTGTGAATGACTACAAATGTTTTAGAAACATCTTGAGTTTTTGACACATGTTTTGAAAACTTACTGAATGTTGTGAATATGATAAAATAATGTGATGAAATAAAAAATGCTTGGAACATAAAATTATCAAATTTATATGTAGCTCTTCTTTCTGATCGCTAAGGAATCTAAAATTTTTTTTGTAGACTCCCAAAGTTGGGTAGAACCGGAAAATGTACTGCGGTTTGTTTGTTTTTTAATTTTGTGTCACCCTATTATACAACTTAAAATTTTTTTTTATAAAATAATAAAATTTTTATAATTTCACTTTTTAGTAATTTAAATAAATTTGTTCATTTATCAATAGAACAGATATTTATCAATAGAACAAACAATCAATAGAAGTAATTTGTAAAAGCATTTTTGCGTAACTTTATTAAAATGTTTCAAAAGATAAGTTTTAAAGTAATTATTTTAAAATGCATTTAAAAACTTAACAAAAAGTAATTTTAACTTTAAGTTTTTTAAGTTTTATTTTAAAGCAATTTCTTTTCTTGTTCTTTAGTTATTCTTTTTAATAAAGTATTTATTTTTAAGAACTCGATATATATATATATATAAATATATATATATATATATATATATGTATATATAT